CTTAAAGACGTCCTGCACTGACTCAAGAGTTAACAGTCATTCAATTCAATGAAGCACATAACTGTGTATTAGCAAACTGCACTGCAAAGGATCAATCTTTTTAGAACAAGGCCCTAAACAAGCAGCATGCTTTACAGAACCAGCTTTAGGATTAATAAATAAATGTACTAGAAAAAAAGCTCTTAAATTAAAATCAAAAGAGACATTTAAAGTTTGGGCATTCTTCATTACAGAGAGAATCTTCCACTTTGAGACTATTATATTTCAGAAAAGCTCCATCTGTTGTATAATTATCCCTGATAAATGGCCTGATGCTTTGAGCTTCATTACAGAACAGGGAAGGGAAAGGCACACACAGAGAGAACTGTAAATAAATCTCCCTTCCATATTTCACTTAAAACCAGCCCAGCAGGAAGCCATAAAATATTTTTAATAGGTAATATTTTCAAAACATTTTACTGGAAGAAGCCAGCCTGCTCTGTCCAGTATCTGCCCTCTCAAAGAAGCCAGTATGAAAAAGGAAAATTGGCTTCATTTGGAGATTACTAGAAATTTAATTGGAAAAATTAAAAATTAAAAAAAAATTTATCCACTTGGTGGTAGTGGTAATAATGTTGCAGAGGGCAGAGTGGCCTTGCCAGACCCTACAACAGGCATAAAGAACATATTAAAAGGCATGACCAGCTAGATATGATGGCTCACCTCTATGAGTCTAACACTCAGGAACTGGGGGCAGGAAGGCTGCAAGTCTGAGACAGGCTAGACTGCACAGTGAGGCTTGTCTAAACTCTTCCATTGTTTTCTAAGTCCCTGGGAAGTTAGGATATCACCAGAAAACAGTTTCCAAGGAAACAAAGGGGGTTTTGTTCAATCAAATTAATTTACTCACTGCTAAAGAATGCTCTCGAATCACTATTTTGGAAATTAGCATCATATTAAAAAAAAATCTAGGAGTTTAAGACCAGCATAGGCAACACAATCAGTCCCTGTCACAAAACCCAAACCATACCAAACCCAAAACCAAAAACAGTAGCAAGATTCAAACAAGAAGGGAGGGTGGGAGGGGACCAAGGAAGGAGAGGGGAGGGGAGTCAGGAGAGGAGGAAGGGAGGGGAGAAGAGGGGAAGGGAGACAGGAGAGGGGGGACAGAAGGGAAGGAAAGGGAAAGGAGGTGAGGGGTGGAGAGGAAGGGGAGGGGAAGGAAGAGGGTGAAGGGGGGAGGCAAAGGAAGAAAGAAAAGGCATCCAGACTGGAAAGCACGAAGTAAAATTATCCTTGTTTGTAAATGTCATGACCTCATACATAGAAAATCCTAAAAATTCTACCAACAATTATTAGAACTGATAAATTTAGTAAATGTCCAGGACACAAGATCAATTAAAAAAAAATCAATAGTGTTCTATATCAGTAAGAAACTTGCTGAGAAAAAAATCCAGAAAGCCACCACACTCACAATAGCTACCAAAACAATCTAGACATAAATTTAACTGAGAGCCCTGTGGTCTCTACAACATGATACAACACTGAGGGAAGGAACTGAAGAACACAGACAAAGAGCGGAGGGGAGCGGGAGGGGGGGCAGACTGTAGCACCCATACACACATACCCTAAGGGAAAGGTATCTCATATTCATGGGCTGCAAAATATTGTTAAAATGGTGATACTATCCAAAGCAGTTTATAGATTCAGTATCATTCCTCTCAAAATATCAGTAATATTCTTCACAGAAATATAAAATGAAGCCTGAAAATTCATGTAATTCACCAAATATTCATAAAAGCCAAAGCAATCCTGAGCAAAACAAGAACCTAGAAGCATCAAATACTACAAAACTGTGTGATAACCAAATCAGCACACCACAGCCCAGAGAACGCCATAACACTGAGCAATGGAACAGAATGGAGAACTCAGAAATAAATCCTTCTGCAGCCAAGGGATTTCAACATAGGAAGTAAAATACACATCAGAAAAAGAAAAGCATCTTCAGTCGCTATGCTGGGGAAAGTGGATATTCACATGCAGTGGAATTAAACTAGAACCTTATTGCTCACCATCTATGGAAATAACTCACAATGTATCCAAAGAAAGACTCACTATGTTGAAGAGGAACCTGCATTCCCACATTTCTTACACTATTTACAATAGCCAAGACAGGGATGACTTGGGAGACCATCCCTACACAAATATGTGAATAAAATGCTGTGTATGTACACAATGGAAAACAGCCACAAAAATGAAGTCCTGTCACGTGACAACAACATGGATGTTTTATGAAATAAGGCAAGCACGGGACAAATTTTGCGTCCTCTTACATATACGAATGTGAAGCTTAAAAAAAGAAGATGAAGTGCTCGTTAGTGTCCAGCGTTGCACCCCACAAAGACTGCTGAGTCAATGTACAAATAAACACAGACAGAGCAATCTCATGATCACCAAATCCAAATGACTCCTCAGCTCACAACCTCAGCAGCATGTTCACACATACACGCACTGTGCTGGAGTATTTCAACACATGGGTTCCAGATCCAAATTTGCATGTTGGAACATGGGCTCCTCTGCCAGGCATAAGCGCTGTAACTTTGGGAGAAGTTAATGGGTCTCTATACTCTAATGTCCTCATCTATAAAAATGGGTACAATTAACTGTCCCTCCCTCAAAGCTATGTTATAATTAAATGCTATGGTTAGAAGAGGGCTTACAATATAGCAAACTCCTCCTAAGTGTGAGCAGTCACTGTCCTTATTACAAAGCCCAGGCTGTAAGTTGAAATCTCCTCCGTTTCCGAGGCTTGCTCACACCAGTCTCCTCTCTGATTTCTTCAACTGCCTTCTTTGTCTGTTGCTCTCAGAATGCAGAGGGGCTTCACTCAAGTCTGTTCTCACCACTTTGAAGCACTGTGTGTCCATCTTAGAGTTCTACTGTCTGAAGCTAATCTCATTTCCTGATTCCTCAGGTTTTCTCTGTAATGTGCTTTCCATATAATCCACCCTGTTTCCAATTCTGTCAGGCTGTTTCTTCAAAAGAACAGTGCTACTGTCACTCCATGGCTGCTGTGTAAAGTCCAAATTGCTAAACTGGGCATTCAGGCTTCTACCACCTGGCTATAGTCACCTTCCCAACGTCATCCTTCAACAACAGCTATGAAGGAGTCACCACCGTTGAGGAGCTTCAGGCAGTTTCCAGCACAGCTGAGGCCACACACTGTCTTAATAACTTTCTGTCTTCAGTAGCCTTTCTGAGTAAGCCGATGCCCTTCTTCAACAGCATGTATTAAGAACCACTAACATGGGTACACACAGCCAAGTGCAAGCTTTCTAAAGCCAGCACAACTGACAGGGTGGGCTGGATCACATTCTGATGTAGCAGGATGTTCTATGCAATATAGGCTCTTAGTAGCTCCCTTGGCCTCTAAGCATTTCCACATGTTCTGGGGAGGGGGGAGGGAAGCTTGCTCTTGTGCCATCCTCTGTAAACAAACACATTTAATTTCCCTTACTAAATATCAAACTCTTTGAAGACTTTATTGTATATTCTCAACATGACTGAATACAGTAATATATGAGAGATTTAGATAAATATTTTTTGTTGCTAACCTTTCCAAAATTAGCAAACAGAACATTCTGACCTATCATTTCTAGACAGTCATTAAACTTGAAACACTAAATTTCAACCTTGTTAAGTGTAAGAGGCAAAAACTGCTGTCATAATATCCTTATAATTTTCAACAAATACTATCAGTTATAGTTGTATCCCAAAGGAAAGGTTAAATACAAAGTGATACAGAGGGTCAGTGTGATGACTCAGAGGGTAAAGGTGCTTCTGCACAGGTTTAATGACCTGAGTTTATTTCCTAGGTCCTACAAGGTGGCAGGAGACAACGGACTACAGTACAGAGAACTGTCCTCTGACCTCTATAATATACCAAGACACATGCACACCTGAGTTTACTTGTTCTCTTGTGCACTCGATCTCCATGCCCCCTTCCACATTAATAGTATTACTACCTAAGTTAAACACTTAACGATGGACAAGTCCAGTCAGTAGCAGGGGTGGGAGCTCAATACCAGCCCTAAACCAGTAGTTTTAAACAGTAACTGTACATTAGAGCTCTCTGCAGGTAAAAGCGTGGTGGCACACACCTTTAATCCCATCACTCGGGAGGCAGAGGCAGGCAGATCTCTGTGAGTTCATCACTTGATAAAGTGAGATGGCTCAGAGCAGGTAAAGACACTTGTCCCCAAGCCTGGTGACGTGGGTTTGATTCCCAAGACTCACACGATAGAATTAGAGAATCAACTCCTGCAGTTCTGTCTTTCACATGTATGTGTGGCACATGCACCAACACACAAATGCATTAATAAAAATGAAATCTAAACATTTTTAGAGGCTGGAGAGATGGCTCAGCAGTTAAGAGCCCTGGCTGCTCCCACAGGGGACCCAGGTTTGGTTCCCAGCACCCACATGTCAGCTAACAACTGCCCCTAACTCCACTTCCAGGGGATCTGCTGCCCTCTTCTGGCCTCTGTGGGCACTGCTCATATGTGATACATACAGGTAGACAAAACAGTCATACACATAAACCAAAAACAAATTTTTAAAGAAAACCTCAGTGGATGCTAATATGCATATACAGGTAGACAAAACAGTCATACACATAAAATAAACCAAAAACAAATTTTTAAAGAAAACCTCAGTGGATGCTAATATGCATCCAGAGGGCAGCCACTGCTCTAGGCTGGCTCCAAACTTCATGTCCTTCTGCAGTGAACATAGAACATGTCCTTCTGCAGTGAATGAAGGCGCTCTCCTGGGCAGACCTCACATTCCAAGGAATGGCTGACATGCTGCTCTACCTTGTTGAGCACAGGTCCCATACCTGCATACTCATCTTGAATAAAAAGAACCACCATCTTGTATTTGAGACTAAGCATCTGTGACCAAGGTACTCACAGTGAAATTCCTGGGCCCTCCCCACCACCTCTCATGGTGTAGACACTTACATTCCTCTTTGCTTGATGAAGTTACATTCAGTTCTGTCGGAAGCGACTGCTGGTTCGGACTAAGAGTTGGCATGGTTATCGAGGTATTACTGTTGTCACTGGTGGTCTCTTCAGAAAACAAATCTGATTGGCTGTTACTTGTACTTGGAGCGGAATCATCGTCTGGTTGTTTCTTTTGAAAATCTATAGAGAAAGGGTATAAAAACTAGTTTAACTAAAAAGCTCACAATTAAGAGTATCAGAAAATAATTTAATTTAAAAGTTATATGCAACAGTAGTAATGAAGGCAAATTTGGATAATTAAAAAATATGGCAGTAGGCCGGGCGTGGTGGCACACGCCTTTAATCCCAGCACCTGGGAAGCAGAGGCAGGTTGATCTCTGCGAGTTCAAGGACAGCCTGGTCTGCACAGTGAGTCCAGGCCAGCTGGGGCTACAGAGATCCCCTGTCGCAAAAACACCAAAAACACAAAAACAAAAACAAAAAACATGGCAGTAAAACAATGGTCAAAAACGTACAATTTGTAGTGAATAATTAAAATCTAAGTTTCCCAATGCCCTGTTGTTCAGAAAATGGACACTGATTTCAATACTGAACTCTGTAAAACTAAAGATGCATGTCAAAATTTCAAGAGTAATCAGTAGGAAAAAAAAATGAAAAATTGATACCAGGATTGGAGAGATGGCTCAGCAGTTAAGAGCACTGGCTGCTCTTGCAGAGGACCCAGGTTCAATTTCCAGCACCCACAGGGTGGCTAACAGCCATCCATAACTCCTCCTCAGGTAACTGCATGACACGAGTGCACTTATAAACATGCAGGCAATACACTAACATACAAAAATAAAAATTATTGACACCAATAGGTGAGAGGTCAGAAGGAAAACAGCAGCACAGAAAACAGCAAAGTAAATAGAAACCACATTAAAAATGGCAGAAATAGTGAGTGAATGAATGGTATTAATAATAGTAATAAATGTAAAAGGACTAAACTTATCAGCAAAGACCAAAAAACAAAAATGAAATCAGATTACTAAGTAAACTCTAGTTGCATGCAGTTTACAACAGACACACTGAAAACATATGGAGAGCGGGGTTTTAGTTGGTGACCTTTTTACTTCTTTTTTAAAACATATTTTATTTTTTGTTTTATGCTTATGTGTGTATTGCCTGCATGTAGGTAAGAGCACCCATGTCATGCAGTGTCCACAGAGGACAGAAGATGCTGTCGAATCCGCTGGGACTGGAGTTACAGACAGTTGTTAGCTGCCATGTGGGTGCTGGGATTTGAACCTGGGTCTTCTGCAAGAACCAGTGTTCTTAACCGCTGAGCCATCTCTCCAGCCCCCCCTTTTTACGTCTTAAGGTAGTGATGGGTATACAAAAGTAATTTCTATCTATAATATGTATTTGTCTCTCTGTAATCTCTGTATTTTTCATTTAAAAATACCTGATACTACTATGTGAAGTACAAATTATACTTTCAGTTTGAAGAAATGAAAAACGATCCTTAGAACTTCACATTGACTTTATCTTTGAGTAAGAAAAGAAAATCTCTGCATTTTAACATGTTTCTCAGCATAATAGCTAGCATCTTTGACACATTGATCGAGCAGCCAGTCTCTGAACTGTTCTATGCATAAAACTAATTTACTTTATCCTCAGAAAAACTTTGAAAAGGCAAATATAAACAAGTAACACTATTCTGTCCCTAAGAAAATGGACATTCAGAAGACCCAGGGAATCTGCTCCAAGTTAGCAGCAGATGAAGAGCAGGGCACTCTGACTTGACAACACAAGTCATAGTCCTCAGTCACAGGACAGGATGGAGACCAGCAAGCACCAGCCCAAAGAGGGCCTCGCTGCAAGAGCCACCTACTTCCAGCACAGCTTCTTTTCTGAATATTTCTCGTAGCCACTTTTTTTTTGGCTTTTTGAAAAATATTTTATTACTTTTCACGTATAATGCTTGCATGTATGTAAGTGCACCGGTGTCATGCAATGTCCAAGAAGGTCAGAAGAGGGTGTCGGATTCCCTGGAACTGGAGCTATAGACAGTGTTAGCCACCACGTGGGTGCTGGGAGCTGAACCTGGGTCCTCCAAAGAGCACCCAGTGCTCTTAATCACTGAGCCACCTCTCTAGTCCCTTTATTTTTAAAAAATGTTTTATTTTATGTGTATGAATGTATTGCCTGCATGTAGGTATGCGCACCCATGTCATGCAATGCCTGCGGAGAACAGAAAAAGCTGTCAGACCCCTTGGAGCTGGAGTTACAGACAGTTGTTAGCTGCCATGTGGGTGCTGGGATTCAAACCCGGGTCTTCTGTAAGAACAGTTGGTGTTCTTAACAGCTGAGCCATCTCTCCAGCCCCCAGTCCCTTTATTTTTTATGTATATGAGTGCTTTGCCTGCATGTAAGTGCCCCTATGTTGTGCAATGCCTGCAGAGCCCAAAAGAGGTAGTCAGCTCTCCTGGAACTAGAATCACAGATGACTGTCAGCCGCCATGTGGGTGCTGGGAACTGAACTTGAGTCCTCTTCAAGAGTAGTTAATGGTCTTAACTGCTGAGCTGTCTCTCCAGCTCCTAAAGGGGTATTTCAAAATATAGTAGTATCTGATGAGGATGAGAAGTGTAGAGATGTAAGGTCTCACACACTGTCATGGTATATGAGCACTATGGCTTTAAAAGATGTAGTTTGATAATAGGAATCAAGAACCTTAACAACGTTCATCTTACTTGACAGAGGGAAAAACGGGAGTTATTTTTCTGGTCTAAAGAAAGGGCCACCAGGCCAGCGTCACCTCTTCCTGCTGCCCTGACAGCTGGCAGCACTGCTCTCTGCACATTCCTTTCACCCAGTATCTGCTTTCTGATTAGCACCAACCATAGAGAAGGATGGACAGAGAGACCGACTTAAGAATCGCAGAAGTCCACCCCGAAATCAAGAGGGAAGATGATGTGACGAGTGAGGAAGAGCAAAATGAGGCGAGGCGACTGCTTCCCTCCACCCTTCCCTAGAGACCAGTGCTGTGGAAGAAAGGTCTAGAAACAGCCACTTCAGCTGGCCGCATGCTGCAAGTTTTGTTCATTTCTTATTCTACAATTCTGAAGTAAATGGGAAAGCTAGAAATCTCCAAAGTTAATTCATTTCACAGATGAGAAAATAATTAGGAATAACTACCCCTTTTTACTGGTGCCGTTAATGGTATATTCTAAAGTAGGAATTTTTAAAAATAAAGCTGTCTGAGAGAGGTGTATACAAATAAAGCTTTTCTAAACCAAACTTGTAAAACCTGACTTAAACCTCTATCCCTTAATAGGATTACTGTTCAAAAGTGAATAGCTGCCAAAATGTTGATGCTTACCTTATTATCGACTAAGGAAAAACTAACTTCTGTGCTCCTACAACCTCCAGAAATGGGAAGTTTCCACAGAAATAGTGACCCAATGGTGCCAACTAGAGGAAAATGAGCAGTGAAGGGGGCTGTGTGAGGGGGATGAAGGCCCTGGGGGTGGGCTCCAACACACTCTTCAGGCAGCTTTTCCCCACTGTTTGCAGAATGACTTTTCACAAGTCAACACTCTTACCGCAAAATACCTCCAAAAAGACTAGGAGCACCATACAAGCACCTGCCTGGCGGTGCTGGCAAGCCCATACACCCGAGCAGCTGCTCTGGAACTGGACAAAACTGAACCTTTACTCAAAACTCACCTTGCACAATCTTAGAACCTGGCAGGCAGAGTTAGGGGATCACAGATCTGAGGCCAATCTGGGCTGCAGAGTAAGTTCAAGGCTAGCCAGAGCTACACAGGAAGCCTGCTGCACAAAACCAAAGGGCTCAGTGGGAGGTACAGGGAAGTGTACCTCAGTGGTCTAGAGTGCACAAAGCCTTGGTTTCCATGGGGGTTGGGATCACACCACCAAAATCCTTACCCTTGGTGTATTTGTCTCAGATAACTATTGGATTTGACACAGCGCTTGGCTCACTGAAACCCCTGCCCTCATCCAGATTATACAATAACATATCTTTCTGAGAGATTTTTTCAAAGCAGAGAACAAAATAATTCAAGAAAGAATTCAGTACTTAATTTTAAGTAACTTTATTTCAAAACAAATTAACCCTTCTGCCTTCCTCCTCCTCCTCTTTTCCTCTTTTTGAGACTGGGTCTCCCTGTAGCCCCAGCTGACCTGGAACTCATGATATAGACCAGGCTGGCCTTGATCTCATAGATCTTGCCTCTGCTAGGATTAAAGGCATGCATCACCATGCCTGGCTAAATCTTCTTTTGAACCCTTCCTCTCAGCAGTGTATGGTGAACATTATTTTCCAGATACAGAGCCAAGTGATCAAAGATGTGCACATAGTAAGTCTACTTACTGACCTGTCAATCAAACCAATTCACTGTTGATACACACTGTCAGTCATCAAGTTTTCACTGTTCTAAACAAGATCTTATTGAGCTTTCTCTAGTTATAGTCTGACAGGAAGTCAGCCCTTAAGAAAGGATCTACAGGTTTAAAGAATAGATACACTGTGTCAAATTCTCTTGGCACAAAACCCTGTTGTCTCCCAACACCACTGCATACAAGAACCATGGTATTTCTGGTCATATACCAGTAAGGTAGAAACACTCTGCTGGACATTATCACTGGGAACATTCCAAGTTTAAAATAAAATGTTTAACTGGCACATAATACAACTTATGTGCAAAACTGGATGGAGAGAAAAGAAAACCAACCAACCCTGGATCACAGATGTACAATGAGGAAAATCTCAGCAAAATGATTTACTATCATACTTCTTTTCCTTTTTATTATAGCCTAGGCCAGAATATCATATTCTAAACATAAGATCTTAAGATGGCTTTTGTCAACCAGACAAACAAACTAAATAAATAGAAGTCATCAACAGCTGTCAGTCTATAAAAATGCAAGTGTAACTTAAAGAAGAAGAATCACTATTCAAGAAATGTTAGCCAGAGGCATGTGGCCAAAAAAAGAAGTATGTTTTAAAGCCACCACTGGGTCACATTAGAAGAACCTATACTAATGACCAATGATTGTTCTGCACCCTGGCAATCTTCTGCACCTTTCCAAGTCCCAAATGCATGTGGGTCAGCATTTCTAAAGGACGAACGCTCAAAGCCCATGAAGTTCTGTTTCCATAATCAACGGGGATGAG